TCTATATTTCTTTACACTCCTTTTGTAGGTTTCAATTTGGACCTGTACCGATGATCCGAATTATTAATCTCATAAGTTCCGTAATAAAGGTCATAAATGTAAAAAATGAGTTTTATCGAAAAATTATAAACTTAAAAAAAGAACACATTTTATTTTATAAAATAAACAACAAGTGTAATTGCAAACTTAAACCATTTATTGGAACTCACAAGAGAGGTATGGAAAGATGAAAGTATGACGGAAGCCTATCCCAACTACATAACCCATTAATGGGTTATTGTTGGGTATATTGACGTTTTACCTATCTTAGTAAGATTTCTCTATCAGGTGATACACAAAAAAAGAAACAAAAAAAAAAAAAAAGAACTAAACCCAAATCGAGTATTTTAATCTCCCAAACAAACATGAGAAACATTTTAACATGGTTTAAAGAATATAAAAACAGGCCAAGCTTGGATTTAAAATGAATGGGCTTGCGTTTGAATGTTTTTTAATTACCATAGCCACCTCAATGATTTTTTTTAAAAATGACACGAAAGTTAACCTAATTTAAACCATATAATAATAAATAAATAAAAATCCAAATTATTAATCTCATAAGTTCCGTAATAAAGGTCATCTATGCAAAAAATGAGTTTTATCGAAAAATTATAAACTTAAAAAAAAAAACACATTTTATTTTATAAAATAAACAACGAGTGTAATTGTAAACTTAAATCATTTATTGGGACTCACAAGAGAAGAATGGAAAGATGAAAGTATGACAAAAGCCCATCCCAACTACATAACCCATTAATGGGTTATTGTTGGGTATATTAACGTTTTACCTATCTTAGTAAGATTTCTCTATCAGGTGACACACAAAAAAAGAAACAAAAAAAAAAAAAAAGAACTAAACCCAAATCGAGTATTTTAATCTCCCAAACAAACATGAGAAACATTTTAACATGGTTTAAAGAATATAAAAAAAGGCCAAGCTTGGATTTATAATGAATGGGCTTGCGTTTGAATGTTTTTTAATTACCATAGCCACTTCAATGATTTTTTTTAAAAATGACAGGAAAGTTAACCTAATTTAAACCATATAATAATAATAAAAAAACCCGGGTGGATTTTAAAATGTACGGGCCTGTATTTGATTGTTTTTTAATTACCATTGTCACCTCTCGATGTTCCAATGCCATCATCAATCTTAAATAAGTTAATGAAATTTCACTAAAATTAAGAAGTATTTAGGCCTAGTTTGGGATTTACTATATAATCCATCTTTTTATCTTTTTATCTTTTTTCCATCACATCACCTCTCTACTTTTCTGCACATCTTTTCGTAAAAAGACAAAAAGTACACTTTTTTAGAACACCCCAAACCAACCCTTAGTTTATTGAAATGAATTAGAATAAAATGATTATTCTGTTAAAATATTTATTCTTATGTTTGATTAGACTAAAAAAATAATGATAAATATATTATACATAAAATCATATTTTATCATTTTAAGATAATTATCATCCCAAAAACTTAAGAAATTACCATTATATTCCATTCTATCACCAAATAGAGCATAATGGCCCCGATTAGTAAAACTGTAGAAAATTGATTATAGATTATATTTTAACAGATTATAACTTACAGCTGTGAACATAAGTTGATAACCTGTTTGGTGCGGCTGTGGGATTATAGATTTAAACAATATAGTAGTGTTTGGTAAATAAGTTGTAAAATAATTTTTGTTGTATAATTGTCATTTTTGCCCTTATAAGATATAAATTTTGTGATTTCATTTATAATACATTTATTTATTTATTTTTAATTTTATTTATTTTCCTTTCTTTTTCACCTCATTTTTTTTTCTTTTTTTAAATTTTTTTTTTCTTCTCTTCTTTCTTTGTTAATTTTATTTAATTTATTAATTCATTAAAATTAATATTCATGCTCTAATTTATATTAATGTTGTGATTTCATTACACATTATTTTTTTATATATTCATTTTAATTATTTATATCTGTATTTCTTTTCTTTATTATTATTATTAATTGTGATTTTAGTATAAAAATTATCAATTTGCTCATCAATTATTAAAATTAGTGTCAATTATTAATTATTATTATTATTATTATTATTATTATTATTATTATTATTATTATTATTATTATTATTATTATTATTATTATTATTATTATTATTATTATTATTATTATTATTATTATTATTATTATTATTATTATTATTATTATTATTATTATTATTATTATTATTATTATTATTATTATTATTATTATTATTATTATTATTATTATTATTATTATTATTATTATTATTATTATTATTATTATTATTATTATTATTATTATTATTATTATTATTATTTTTAGTGATATTTCATTTTTTCATTTTTAGTATTTCATTTTTTCATTTGACAAATCCTTTCATTTTTTTCAATTTATATCATTTTTTTAGTGATATTTCATATTCAGTAAAATTATTTCATTTTTCATTATAAATTAATTAGTGTCAATTAATTGCTTAAATAACATCAATTAATAATAAAATTATTAATTCGTATCAATGCTTAATTAATGGATAAATTATAAAATGCTTAATTATTATTATTATTTTTTAAAAAAAAAAAACTAAAAACCTCAAAAAAAAAAATTAAAATCTATCGCCGGCGAGAGAACAGCAACGAATCAACGCCGAAGAGAGAGAGAGAGAGAGAGAGTTGGTTGTTGATAGTCACCGTCAAAGGCACAACGGTGATAGGGGATGGGGACGACGATGGACCGTTGATCGTCACACAATTGATTGTGATTCTAGGGTTTTAGATCGCGATCGTCACACAGTTGATGGTTAGGGTTTCGATTGTGAAGTTAGGGTTTACAACGCGATGGTGGTGGTAAGGAGAGAGAGAGAGAGAGAGAGAGAGAGAGAGAGAAGAGAGCTCTGGTTCGTAAGTGTGAGAGAGAGGGAGAGCACTGGTGAGAGAGAGAGAGAGAAGCGATTTCTGACCCTCAAAACGAACCAGTGCTCTCTCCCTCTCTCTTTCTCTCTCTTTGAGAATGAACAGTGATTTTTTTGTAGTTAATATAATGACAATTTGGTAATACTTCAAATTAATAAAGGGCATTTAAGTAATTTTGTCCCTCAAATTTTAGCTTCCCGCTTAAGCTGAATGAATAAGCACCCCGAAAGTCACTCAGCCAAAAATCACTTTTTTGACTTAATTTAAGTTACAAAAAGTAATTTTAAGCTTTACCAAATACACAAATTATAGCGTAAATTAAACTAAAAACTGAAATAAGCAAATTTTAAACTGCATCAAAGAGGCCTAATATATTATACACCACTTGGAACTTGAGGGAAAGATAGAGACAGACAGACAATACATGTCGGTCTTTCTTCAAGGCTATGAAATAGACTTTTTGGGTTACTAACAATTTATTTGAGGCCAGAAAATTCGATTATGTTACCCTGGTGCTTTCGAATTAGTAATAGCAGTAGTTATGAAATGTACAAAGCTTATCTGAGTCACTTTAATCGGATAACTGTAAAAGATAAAATCAATCTCATTTATCTCTTTTTACATAACTTCATTAATTTGAAATATGCCGTGTTTATAGAAAATTGCTTCGAGGAAAGGCTAGTAAATTAAACAATCTGTTGTGCAACAAAACAAATTAATAATAATAATAATAATAATAATAAAATTTGGCTGTTGCTAACAAGTTGTGGTTTGAGATGTTCTAAATGAGTGTATTTTTTAATTTTTTATAAAAAGGTGTAGAAAAATAGAGAGGAGATAATGATTGATGTGACCCAAAAAAGATAAAAAGATTGACTATTTTAGGTCATGCCAAACCAAGCCGAGTAAAGAATCCGGATCCTCGGCCGCCCTACCCCGGCAGCCCCCCAAAACGACGTCGTTTTGGGGGTTTTTTGTTTTTTTTTTCTTTTTCTTTTCTTCTTCTTCGTTCTTGCTTTCTCTCTCTTCGAATAGAAACCAGAGGGGAGGGGAGAGGGAGAAGAGGGAGGAAGGAGGAGGGAGGAGGCTGCCAGCTCGCCATCGCAGCTCGTCGCCTCGCCGCAGGCCGTCGCAGTCGTCCGATCGTCGCCCGATCGAGCTCGTCGCAGCAGCTGCACCGCCGTTGCCTCCGCCTCCGGCCCCGCCTCCGCCTCCTCCACTAGTTATGGCCCCCTCCAGTCCGGCCCTTCCCTTCCTCCTCCTCCTCCTCCTCCCCCCTCCTCCTTCCTCCCTCTTCCTCTCCTTCCTCCCTCTCTTCCTCTACGTTTTTTTTTTTGAAAATTTGCCCCCAAAACGACGTCGTTTTGGGGGCTGCTGGAAACGGCTGCCGGGTAGGGTGGCCGAGAATCCGAACTCGCCGAGTAAAAGACAAAAAAATTAAAAATATAATATATTTTTCACTAAATTCAATACATTTTTATTGAAAGTAATATACTTTTTAATATTTTAATGTATTTTCAAGATATTTTTTACGCACTTTCTAACATAAAACAATACCCATGGACACTTTAGCATTTGCTTTTTCTATTTTTGTTTAAACGAAGGATTTTGTTGATAATCCTTGAAAATTTCAAAGTTGAAGAGACACGATTAACCAACTGAATTAAAAAGAGAAAGGAACAGTAGGGATAATAAGATCAACTTCTCAAATACAACGGTCAAATGGGGCCACAACAAAATAAAAATCAATCTGTACAATTGGATTTACCATCTGTCTATTCTTTCTCCAATGAAACATTTTTATGCTTGTCTACAACAATAGCCGTACATGTGACGTCAACATTCACCATTTGCTTCTCTTACGCTTCATTGGTGAGGTTTAAAAGCTCGACTTTTTTATACTATGTTTGAATCTTAAATTTATCTCAAAAAAAAAAAAAAAAGAAAGAAAGAAAAATGGCCCAATAAACAAGATAATCACTTAGGAGGGAGTGAACATAAGTGTAGACCAACCAGAAAATAAAATAAAATAAAAAACATAGGTAAATATCTACAATGCTATAAACAAGCTCTTGATACTGAGTGAAAAGACAAAGAATGAGAGGACAAACGTAGAGTTCAAATATCATTTTTCTAAATTCACCAAAAAAAAAATTTTATATTCGATTCCTAGAAGACAACCAACCAGTTGAGACCAAAAAAAATGTTGAATCTCATCTGTAAGTTCTTCACTCATAATCCGAAAGAAATATGTTCCGCTTCAATAAGGAAAGGGACAAAAAGCTTCAACTCTCCAAAGTACAGTCACAGAGCTACAGACAGCAAGTGTTTTCCTTTTCTCTTAGCAAACATTGAAACATATTTGCCACTTTTATTGAAATAACAGAAATTTAGTGGTCGCCTATTCAGATATTAGAATACGAACCAATAGTTCTCACAACATCAAAAGACCAACAGTGGCCTCTCATTCATTTGCAGCTGCATCCTCTGATGGAGTGTTCTCTCCTACACCAAAAAGGATAAAATGACTTTAGGACGAAAGTGCATCTATCATTAGCAGTAGTTGTGGCGACCCAATAAATTATCATTTTGCATACCTTCACCATCTGACGGACCACAAGGCGATTTCCGGTATCGGGTTTGCTGTTGTGTTGGCTAAAGATAGAGAACCAAAACCAAAGGGGAAAAATATGTCAGTAGTCAGGCATGTGACAAATGTGTGAATAATCAGTTAGGATGGGATTGCAATAACAAAACTCAAATTCCACAGCACATTGATAATTGTGAAATCAATCAGCAATAATCTCAAATAAGATCTCGAGTCATATGTTACATTTGATTTTCATCAAAACAAACATTATTTTCAGTTTTGAACCACCATCTATATTACCACCACAAAACTAAATGGCAACCATCAAATTTTGACCAGATTTGAGATGAGCTCACTTGAGTTTTGAATTTCAAAACTGAAACATAAAAGTGAATGCTAATTCTCAGTCTGCATTATCAACTTCTTGCCTAGCAAGCATCAATACGGGCATACACACATGATGTGGATACGAACAGACAGACACAGCACCATGACAATAGTTTAAAAAATGCATTTATTTGTTATATATTTGATCATATATACTGAAAAATAACACTAAGGTAATTCTAATTTAAGTCACTCCAGTACAGATGTCAAGAACATTTTAAAAGTATCCATCAATTAGGGTCCAATCCTAATCCAAACCCAGGCTTACCAATGAAATTGTAGCTAACCAATGTCATTTGAGTGCTAAGGCTTTGTGAGAGGATGTGAAAACAGCCAAATTTTCACCCAAGCTTACGGGTCATGAAAATGGATCCAATCTGAATCAATCTGGATTATAATTAATTTTTTCTTCATACATCAGCCCTTCCTAATAAATTTAAATTTTTAAAAATATAAAAAATGGCTTCATGCTTGAGCCTGTCTGATGATGAACAGCCAATTAAAACAAATTAGGTCAAAAAATTGGGCCCATGAAGTTCACCTATTTACATCAAAACAGGGTTGCCGAAGGACACCCGAAAGGTATCCAAAAGAAAGAAAACAAACACGATGGATCAAAAATATATCAAATTCTATTATTCAGCTAGCCATGGAAATAAAGTTATGAATCATATAATTTACGATATTTTATGAATACTGAGAAATATTGAAAATTAAAAACCATTAGTTTGACATGCACTCCGGACGTGTTGCTTCAATTTGATAGGCCACAAACAGCCGTTATAGCAGAAGCTCCCCTTCTGAGTATTTTCTGTTAATGTATAACAGGGTTTTCTCTTTTAGGCCCGGCATGTTTCAAATATTTTAGTACGCCTAAAATGCCTCTAAATGTTTTTTTTTTCCCTGGTAAATTTATGTGCTGTTCTATAACTTAAATTTATGTCATTAACTTTGCACTCATTCTCCATATATATTCTTCAAATATGAAGTCCGGAACTCAAAAAGGTTATGTCTTCATTTTCTAAACCATTGCGTGCAATTGAAGTTCCATGTTGCAGCATTCAGACTCTATAAAGTATAAACCGCTTGATCAATGCCAGTTTCTCGGAAAAGTAACAAACGTATTAGAATTTGCATTGACTGAAAATTTATGCAGAAATAGTGTCACTTCACCACACGGGGCTGGTTGAATAATCTAGCTAACAGTAACAACACTAGATACATTGTTTATTTGTGCAAAGCATATCAATTCTGGTAAAAAATAAAAATAAGTAGCACAGCCAAGATGTTTTAGAAGGAAATAAAATATTATTTAAATACCTGCAGTTTAGGTTGAAGTGCCTTGAGTGGTCCTTTGGGCTTCTCTCCACCTTGCTGTTATCATCCACACACATTGAACAGTATTAGGTAATTAAGATGACACAGGTACTTCTACTATTACCAGCCTCTAGCCCCAAGTAAAAGGATGGGCCACAGAAGGAGGTACCTTCCCCAGAGCCCAATCAGCAGAGTCAAAGTAAGCACGTTCATGGTCCTGAAATCAAAAGTATAGTGTCTGAGTGGAGACGAGCACAAACTAGCATCTCTTGCAAACGATTTTTCGAACATTTTTGTGAGAAGAGAGTCATCAATAAAATTGAATTAAGACATTACCTTAGAAATAAGTGGTGGTTTCTTGGGCATTATTCCCCCATACTTGCTCTTAACAGCTTCCTCCTGTAGAAAGCAACATTGTACAAGTCCTGAGAAACTGCTGCAACAATAAGAAGCAAATGCAGAATAAGTTTTTCTAGCACGTACAGAAAACTAGGATATGAACACAACCTCCTGTTGGGGTGATGGCATGGCCTTTTCAGAGTCCTCTGGGACATCTTCATCCACACCTTCATGCTCTTTGACATCTTCCTCCTTGCCTGACATAGTGTTCTTGCAGCAATCCAATGTACAGCAGCTGCAATAGCATATACTATTAATTTCAAGAAACATATCCTCAAATAGATGACATGAATAGAAAAAAAGGGTTCAATGATCACTAACTAATTGCCACTTGAATTAAAAAATAAAAATAAAATAAAATAAGACCTTACTTACCTCGGAAAGTGGATTGAAATAAAGGCCTCTACCCTAAATCATCATTACTGATGACTGTGACTGGCTATGTTTAGAAAGAATTAGAATCTTTAATTAACTTTGGCAACAAACTCTAATAAGGCAGAAATTATCATATGGTTCCAGAACCAGAAGAACACCACGTAGCTGTGTTTGAGAACAATGGTGTCTCATGATTTGCCCATCATTATCCTTTTGGGCAATGTAAGCACATAGCCCCTTATTATTGGGTGGGCACACAACCAACGTGGTATTCCGAGTAGACAGGATAATAAGGCCTCGTTTGGGAACAGGCTATTTTAGTAACTTTTTAGCTAAAATATGAGATAAAAAAAACTAGTATGTTTGAGGTGGCTTTTTGGCTTTTTACGAAAAGATGTTCAAAAAGTAGAGAGAAAATAAATCTTTGACTTTTTGGTATAAGTTATAGGCTTTTTAGCTTTTTTAATAACTTTTTGACTTTTTGGCTAAAATGTTAACTTGCCAAACGAGGCCTAACTCCTAATAAGGGGATACTAGCCTACTTTACAGGAGTACCAAACTTTGAACCCCTTTACAATACTCATGACAAAACCATTTAATCATATTTACTATGAACAACTAGAGGTGACTGCCAGAGATAAATTCATTGACACTTCCAACTTTAGAGGATGAATGAACAGACTCTTAAATATTGAGGGGAAATGAAAAGATATTGATCAAACAAATAGTCAGGCAACCTAAGGAAAGAGGTTTCCCAGAGAAAAAAAAAACATATTTCCAATCTGTCGGGTAAGTGAAACAAATCTGCTTCAGTTTTGGAATCTATCTACAACCATTCATTGTGGAATGTTCCAAGCACAGTGTCAGTTTGTTAGCCTTGCAAGCCAATTCTCCTCGCTTCAAAGTTTAGATGAAGAAAAGGCAAAGCAGGCATGGTTATTTTTACATAGCTTTTGCATGGCAAAATCAATTCTATTTGCACATTTCCAATGCAAATAACAATAATTCAGAAGGAAACTGACAGCATTTTCCTGATAAATTATAAAAATTTCATTAGAGATGGCATTAAGGGAATGCCAGCTATATGCAAAAGAGACTCAAAAAGCCCCCCCAAAAAAACCCTGTACACCTCCACGTGTATAAAAAATCTCTACAATAATCTAAAAATTAATCACAAGAAGGGTTAATAACACTTTGACTGCCAACTATACATTAAACTAATAGATGTACTTTTAAGCCCATACCAAAGCAAAAATTTCTGCACATTAAAAGAACTACAATTCCACTCCCCACAAATAATTCATGTAATACATAAACGAATCGAACACCAGATCTTCCTCCTTTTATGCCAAACAGAAGAAGGAAAAGAAAACACAAATGTGGTCCAGAAATAGCGCATGCCCAGTAGTAATTACAGAATTTGAATGCCAATAAAATATCATCTTGGCTCTTGGGAAACAGGATCTATAGATTCTCAACAAACTGAATGATTTAAAAGTGTACATATAACCATCATCCTTAGTTATATATTATTACATGCAACAATTATGAAAATACAGGATGGCAACTCAAGTTTTTAGTTCCCACGTAAGAAACTTACATGGTAAAATCTGGTTTCATGCATGGCTTTTTGAGCAACATAAAATATAGAAGTGTCAAGAATACTTTAAAATCTCTACAATGCTGATTATTGGCCTACAATATTTTGTAAGGTTTGCGGCATGATATTTGTGTCACATGTCTAACCATGACACTCAAATACTTATTATTCATGTAACCTCTCTGCTAATCATGACCTAATAGGTTTTTCTTCGTGTGTTTCATTGGTTTCAAGCATATAATTGTCCAGTGTGTTCATAATCCTTGTAGAAGAAGAACGCATCTAACTGAAGACTCAATGGAAATTGCACGCATATGCATCCTAAATCTTCTCTCGGTTTTCCACATGCTTTTCAGGTGTCATGTTTCCCCAAATCTGTTGTATATTCATTGACAAATAAATCTAAGGAAATGCCTGGATCATATAAATCAAAATTCCAGTCTGTAATCAAAATTCATTGACCTAGTACAACCATATGCACTTATCCACCATCAGAACAACACTCCCTATCTTCTACACGATTGGTGAGGTCCTCAAGGTTCATAAAATTATCATAATTAAGCTAGTATACATCTCCGATAAACAAACTACATGCATAAGCGGAAAGAGTATAGCAAAACATAGACGATTTGAATCTGACACGCAAGAGGACGTTAAAATTCATCAATGGAATCATTCAAAATCAACTGAACCTGAATCTCGTTCAAAATCCTTGCTCAAATCATGAAACGAGAGAGAGATGATTATAGCGAAAACGAAAAACAATAGCAAGATCAGATCATGAAAATTGAATAAAAAACACATACAGGCAGACAAATTGAAGATTGATTGATTGATTTACCGGTAAAAACAAGCTCTCGAGTTCGCGATTCTTCTAGCTTCGATCGAAATGAATTTGAGAGAGAGAGAGAGAGAGAGAGCAGTTATGGCCGGAGAGACGACAAGCTGAATTGTGGGTTGCTATCTTGTGCAATTACGCGCAACGAGTTATTATGCAACCCTGAGGATTTGTTGCTTGTAATGATTGTACATTTTGAAAATGGATGTACGAGTCCACGGACAATCATGATTAGTACAATGTGTTAGGCGGGGTAGAGGAATCAATGGCGGAGAGCACGAGTTTGTGGCAAGCAAGTGATCTGGTTCCGATGTTGGTGAGGTAATCAATACCCATTTAAGTGAATTTTTTAACCAATATTTTGTTATTCAAAAATGTTTAATTTACTTTTTAAAATAAAATTATATGTATTTCACAATGTGTACCACACAACAAAGATAAATATTCATATATATAATTTATCATAAAATAATAAGATCCGCGTTAAACATTGATAGGAAACTCTTCAAAATATAATAAGAGTGATGTTAGATTATAGTTTTAGACTAATAAATTTACTTATAAGGTAGTAAAGAGGTTGAATCTTATTTTAGTATGTAACAAATTAAAGTTGACACTCATCCTACTAAATGAATGTAATTGTGAAAGAATTTTTGGGATCTGAAAAGAAGGTTTTAAGAAATTAGAAATTGAGTGACAGCTACTACCCTTGCAAAATATTTTTTGAATTTTTGATGAAAAATTGAAGTGGGTTAGTGATTTGAATCCTTTTACTTATATAAAGGTCTTATTCCTCATCTATTTATGGGAATATTTTTGTCTCTCATTTTTTAAGTTTCTTTTATTAATTATATGTTATGTATTTTGTTTTCATCACTACAATAGTAACTGTACGGGGAGGAAATAATTCTCCTCGTATAATCCTGTTGACCAAGTCCACGCTCCTCCGTACGACGTCGCTTTATCACCTGAAAACACAAACATGAGCTAGCCGGCGGGTGTGTGCCGGAAACCTCTCCGATGCCTAAGTCAGTAAGCTTGACAAATAGATAAAGTTTATGTTCTCAGAAAGAATTGTGTTCAATTACCTCCTCCAAGGTGGTGCTTGTGAGCTTTTATAGGTTTCGAGTGGCATAATCCTAGTAGGACTTGTATTTCTCCATGCAGAGTCCTCCTAGGATCCATATTCCTAAGGATAATGCTTATCCCTTTACACCCTCCCCCACTGCTTAAACCAAGTGGGATGGTTTTTACCACGGCCGAACTACTATATGACCGAAATAATACTGGCTATGCTGAGCCACAGAGTAGGCCGAACTATCTATAGTTCGGTTTTCTCCCGTTTAACCATGGTATGCTAAGACCAAGCTTCTGAGTAGCAAGCTCCGACCGATCTAACCATAATACTCCGCGACCGGACTAACTTTGATTATGAACGAACCGTAAGGCCGGACTAACTCCAAGCTACCTCCAGACCGGAGTAGCTTTACACCATCTTGGGCCGAAGCAATTACACCTCTCCTAACCGGAGTAACTATGCTTCTTCTGGGCCGGAATATTATTACGGCCTTTTACTGAGTCCTTCACACTTAGGGCCATAAAGTCCATCTTACAGCTCGGTCCAAATTTTCTCCAAAAATTACCCTCTCAATTGCCCCTTAATTCCATCTGCACAGCGTGATTGAGATTACCAGTCTACCAACCGAGCTGAAGTTTATTAAGCCTTTCCAGCCGAGCTAAAAACCCTTTAGCCTTTCCAGCCGAGCTAATTTTATATCGGGCTTCACTTTGTTCGGTCAAAACGTCTCTTCAATCACAGCGACTGTAACGCTTCCCTTTCCAATGACACGTGGCAGATTCTGATAGGCTGAGGACGGCTGTCACGCCGTCTTTCGTACTTCGTGAATTTTGAACAGTCCCGCCCAAATTTTGGGCTTTCTAAAAACAATCCCTGAGGCCAAGTCCCTTCACTTTTGCCATTTCTTCATCTCCTCTCTCTGTGTTCTTGCTGTTCGTGTTCGTTCTATACTGCAACAGTTTTCATCTTCAGTCCCTTCTTCTTTAATCTGGTAAGCAAATCCACTTTCCCTTCATGTTTTTGCTTTTATATTCGTTTTATGCAGCTATATATCTTTGTTTTGTATGTTTTTTGCAAACACTTTCTTTCATTTGTTGCTTTTGCTTCTGTATTTTTATGAAAAAACCAGTAGAATTTCATGTGTGTATGAACTATTATGTAGAAAAACCAGTCTTAGATCCAAAATCTCATAACAGCCGAACTAGGATACTGTTTGTCCAATATTGGTAGATCACTTCAGTCAATAACCGAACTAGAACTTGAAAGGCTCAAAGAGTCATTAACGTCTCACTTCACTCTAGCCGAAATAAGATCACCGAGTTTTGAACATATCAAACTAGGAACCTCGGTTTTCAACCGAACTAAGCTTCTGGGGCCAAGCCAGCTTTCTTAGTTTCTAAACCGAACTCAGAAAGCTGCCCCTAGAGGTTCAACCGAAGTAACTTTCTTCACACGGCAACCGATTTAGGCCTTGGGGCTAAACCAGCTTTCTTAGTTTTTTAGACCGAACTCAGAAAGCTGCCCCTAGAAGTTAAACCGGTCTACCGAGCAACCTGCCCAAACCGAGCTACCAAACCTTTTGATGAACCGAGATAGAACCAGTTTTTTGAGGCCGAAGTAGGGCTCTTATACCTTGCTTTTAAATTGTAGCACGGTCCAACGATCAGTGCTTTAACCCCCTCTGTTTTCTACTTTGCAGACTTAGGTTACCCAAGCACTCCTGCGTGCGCTCAACCGAGCTACTGAGCACGATTTTTGCACCGATATAAATTATAAGTAAATTATACATCAGATGGGTAAGTATAGGTATCTAGTTGAGACCCCTGGTGGTATGGCCGAATTTAGGAAAGATTACCAGATTCCTGATGACGTCCATCTGACGTTGGCCAAAAAAGATGTTATTCCTTGGGAAAATGAAGGCTTCGTCCCTTTTACCCTTCAATCCATAATAGAAACCGGACTACGGTTTCCTGTCCAACCATTGATCTGTGAATTTCTTAGGCAGACTAGATTATGCCCTACCCAACTGTCCACCAATACATACCGCATTATTATGGGAATAGCCGCACTAAACCATCAAACCGGACTAAACCTTGGTCTGGCCGAAATTTTCCACCAATACTCCATCGGCTCAAAAGATGCTGGGTGGGTCTATTACCTTAGGATTCGCCGCCGCCGAGAGAAGATAGTTAAGCACACACCGGACAAAGACCTTAATGATGATGATTTTTTCTGGGTCTCTGGGAACTTTGAGGATTTTCAAGCCCAAATTCCTGGTCGGCCTATAAATTGGAAAAAGGGGGAGCCCGGTAATATGACTTCGGTCTTCTTTCTTGTATTTTATTTCGATTTTTTTAGTCAATTAACCGAACTAACAGTTCTCCTTTTGCAGATTTCGCCCACCTCCGTTCCTTATATAGCTATCCCAACCTTGCGATTTTGCGAGCCGCACTACGGTGTCAAGAAAGGAGTTGGGCTAAGCTTCTAAACTTTGAACCGACCTATCGGTATAGCGGTCGCCGAAAAGCAAGAGTAACCGATTTCCTTCTTGAGGAAGCACCAGAACCGGACCCAACCTTACCCGAAATACGACTTGTCCCATTAACTGCTGAAGAAGAGATGGCAAAGAAAAGCAGAGTTAGGGCCCTTCTGACCGCAACAACCAGGGCCGAAGTACCACCAACTATTGAGGCGCAGCCTGCCGTTATGGCCCTCCCTTCTCAACGGCCTTCTTCATCTCGCCCTTCCAAACGCGTCCGATCTATATCGACCGAACAGCAACTTGTCGATGAGGTTGAATCCATCTCCCAAAGTCCTCAACCTATCCTCCAACCGGAGCAAACCGACCGAGTTGAATCTTCCCATTGGGCTCCGAAGCTAACCTTCAACGACAGAGACATCAAGGCATCTGATTCGGTTGTTGCTGAAAAAGATCATCTATTGGCTTTTAATCTGGCCAAGAGTGTGTGCCTCCCAAAAGATATGGAGCACCACTTAAAGCAATTGAACACCGAAATGAAGTCAATTCGGTCTACATCCAAGTCCTTGATTTTGGTAAGTAACTCTGTCCGCTTCTTTTGCCTAAATTTTCCAACTTGTACTTCGGCTCAAAGGAAATCTTTGTTTTGCCAGGCCTTACAAAAGAACAATATTACTTACAAGAAAGTCCAAGAACTAAGAAAAACCACAAGGCAAGCAATGGCGGAAGCCGAGGCAAAGGCGGCCGAACTAGAGGAGGCCGAAAAGAAATGACCGAGCTACAAGCAGAGAACGGTCGACTTGCCGATCTGGTTAGCTCGGCTGAAGCGGAGAGGCAGAAAGCGGCCATCGCTATGAAAGACAAATATTTGCGCGAGCTAGTAAAGCTTGAAAAGAGAAAGGATACCGAAATAAGCCAACTAAAAAATAGCGTGGAGAGAGCCGAAAAGCAGGGTTACAAGCAGGGTTACAAGAAGGCAGAAGACGCCTATGTCAAACAGTGCGACGCTGCCAAGGAGCTGTTCTTCAAGTGTGGCTGGAGGGCGGCTGTTGAGAAGCTCGGTCATGATCAACAGACCGAGGTCTTCAACCCTCCAGACTACTTTATACCGAAGTCCCTTGCGGAGTATGCCGATACCCTGCAACAAGAGTTTCTGGAAGACTCAGATTCTGATGACTCCTCTGCTTCCGAAGATATTTCGGTTGTTAGTGCAGACCCATCACTTCGGTTGGAGCCCATGGTAGACGACCCACCTATTGAACAACCAAGTGACACCGTGGTTCCAACCGAAACCAACCCGGCGACCGAGCGTGATCTTCTCCTTGAAACCGGTTTTCAAGTTGATGGTGATGCGGCCTTTGACGCCGAAATACAAGAACTCTTTTCTTGACTTTGTACTTTTTCTTTTTCTTATTTCGTCTTTGTAACCGGGCTTTGGTCCTTGCTTCGTACTTATTTTGATCTTTAATGAAATGGAAATTTTCTTGAACTCTAACTTCGGTTTTGATATGTATGTCTGTACTTTGTAATGCCTTTTATTACTCCAACTTCTATTTCGGTTTTGGCTTTTTAAACTATGCTTACCAGCCAATCACTCCTTAGCCG